TAAGTAATAAAAAAAGAGTAAAAACTGCATATGCAATTCCTAAGATATCTATTTGAATTGCTTCTTTCGTTCCTATCCAATTATAAGTAGCTGTTAATATTAATATTAATATTCCTATTTATCAATAATTACTCACACCTATATTAGCTAAGAGACCTTCTAAATTCTATATAATAATAATATATATATATATATATATATATATATACGTGTTGCAGAAGAGAGAGAGAGTGTGTGTGTGTGTGTGTGTGTGTCCAAACGAAACTTGCGTGATTGATGTGTGCATGTGCATGCGAGATTGGGCAATGCTAATTAGATTTGCGCAATTTGTATTGCGCGCCGCGACTCTCTCAACACCGTCGCGCACCAATCACATCGGGCTCGCCCTCTCTTTACAGCGAATCAAGAGAACGCTTTACGCTCAAACACCGCGACCGTTCGAACGACCACAGGCAACCGTTATCTACAAACAAACGTTGACTACAAACAGTTTTGTCCTCCGACTTTTGTTAGGGTTCCTTACAAACAATGCCAACCAAATTAAAAGTTCGATGATTTGGTTTTCGGAACCCTCTCGAAGGTCAAAAGGATAAAATCATCCGTCCGCTGCCGTTTTTCTCTTCACTTCACTTGGCTTACGATCGCTCGCACGTACAGACCAGAGTTCGCTGTCGATGATAATTGCTCCGGCACTTCTTTTCGGGCAATTCACGTCGTGATTTTCAACTGCACTTCTTGCAGTTTGTTTGCATCTGTCTCACCGTGCACGTGTCTGTAAATATATGTATCTTCATTTATTTGTGATATACTGACTCTTTTTGTTCTACCGAACACTGATTCCTTCGCTCACGTTCACTGACACACGCGTATTTCTCGGCAACCTCTCATCAAGATTCCGCACAATACGCAATAAAAATTATTGTTGAATTTATTATTCAAATGAAATCTCTAATTGCCTATTCCTCCATAATGTCTATGTATCATTCTAAGTAATATGTATAATAAATTTATTCTAATATTATGAAATGAACTTGTGTTACTCAATAATTCACATAATAATCATTAATATAATATCAAAAATCAAAATCAGAATCACTATAAGTGATACACATAACATTATCGTATAATTATGAATAACACAAATACTGCTCGTTCATATTAATATCCACCAGCTCTTCTTTGCTAATTAAATCAAATAGTATCTCTAAATATCAATACTATGAGAAAACGTGAATAACTAAATGTCACTTTTCACATTTAGTACATTCAAAAGTCAAAATCGAAAATATTACATATTTTAACTGGATTAATGTATAGATTTCTTATAATTATCAATATACACCAGAGAGTTTTTTTACTAAATAAATCAACAAGTGTCTCCAAATCAATACTTTAAAAAAACGTGAAACTAAATGTCACTTTTTCGCATTTAGTACATTCAAAAGACAAAATCGAAAATATTACATATTCTAACTGGATTAATGTATAGATTTCTTATAATTATCAATATACACCAGTTTCCTTAATAAATAAATCAACAAGCGTCTTCAAGTATCAATACTTTAAGAAGACATGGGTAACCAAATGTCACCTTTCGTATTTAGTACATTCAAAAATCAGAACCGAAAACATTACATATTTCAACTGGATTAATGTATAGATTTCACCCCTCCTCCTTTTTTGTGTCGCTGGGTGTTCGAAAATCGAACGTTTAAAACCTGCAAGTAAAATCATTAGACCATTCATGCATCACTTTTATGCCACATGCATTTTGCTACTATAGATGAAAATTTATATTATAATCAAATAGCGCTCGGCCGCAAGAGTATACGGTTACCCCGCGCCTTCGAAAAATAAGCGCTTGCGTTATCTCATATTAAACTGTAAACACCGCGGTCGCGCGAGAAGAGATAAAAAACAACTATACTAATAACAAAATTGAGATGTTGTTTGAGGAATAAACAATTACAATAAACGTTCTTTCGCCCTCAACCGAACGATAGAATTTTAGAAATGTTCGCGAATATTCTTGAATATAGAGCCTATTGTATAAACCTCCTCTCGAGCGGCCGCGGCGCTCTTTCCGATTGCTAGTCGTCGCGAACAGAGTACGTTTTTCCGATAAAGATCGCTCATCTTTTTTCGTGCTAACTACCATTGCTTGCGGACAGAAATAATTATATTCTCGACTTGGCTTTTCTCTCGGTTTATTGTACATTGATTATACGTTCGACTCGGCTATTCTCTTGTGATTAATTCTTCGCGGTTTCGACAATTGTAGTTTTGTGTTAGTTAAATATATATTCAGTGTTAACGATACGCGTATGTTGAGTTCAGTGATTTTCCGACGTCCCGCTTTTGATTTTCCTATCCTGCCTTCCGTCTCGCACATTATTTTGATCCTTTGAGCCGGATCTTCCGGAACTTCCTCTGAATCCAGTGCCACGGAAGTGATAGTGAAACAGTGTCGGTGACCAGTGCATCTGAAAAAGAGACAGAGTCACAAAATCTCGCGCGCGTACGAGAACCTGCTGAAACTCGGTGAGGCCAAGATCACTCTCGGTGCGGTGGAGGCCCGGCTTCAAAACCTCGAGAAGCTGTGAGAGAAATTCGACGCTATTAATGATGCGTTGACGGATCGAGGAAATCAAAAATAATGTCTATGCTAAATAAGACATCCCGTCGTTAGAAGAGGAAGCTTACTTGCAGAATAAGGGCCTCATGCTCAATCTGAAGAGCGTTCTCCAATCCCACCAGCAGGCATCCGGCTCTACCGCAGCAGCGACATCGGTATCAGCTCCTCGGACCGCACTTCCAAAAATTCAACCGCCGACCTTCGCTGGGAAATATGAAGACTGGCCTTCCTTCCGGGATCTCTTCCAGTCAATCATCGACAGGAACCAGTCAGCCAAACCTGTAGAGAAATTACACTACTTAAAGCTCTGTGTTAAGGAGGACGCGGACTTACTAATACGCAACCTTAGCACTACAGACGACAACTACGAGATCGCGTAGAAAACGCTGAGCGACTACTACGAGAACAAGAGGTTATTGACGCACAACTATCTAACCAACTTCCTGGCGTTGACAAGGATGAAAAGCGAATCCGCAGCTGAACTGAGGTGGATCTTCCATGGCCTTAAAACCACGGTCAGCTCATTGAAGAGCATCAATCGTCCCATCGATCGAACGGAAGAATTTTTCGTGCATCTAGGCGTGGAGCTTCTTGATAATCGCTCTTGTCGGAAATGGGAGAGCGACATTAGCCATACAACGAATCCTCCGACATACGCCGAGCTGGAAGCCTTTATCGAGCGACGGCTTCATACACTGGAAGCGCTGTTTCCCGCCCGGAACGACAGCTCAACCAGCAACACTACCGGCAGTTCAAAAACGACACGGAGTCACCACGCGAGGAAACAAGAACAAAAGGAGAAGTCAAGAGGCCGGTGCTTCATTTGCCAGGGTGACCACTTCGTCATGTTCTGTGGCGAGTACAAGGAGAAGACGGCGATGGCTCGCAAGCAGCTCGTCACCGACCTGAAGCTCTGTGCGAACTGCCTCGACCGACACCAGTTAAACGAGTGCGCGACGAAGAAGACTTGCACCGCGTGTGGCACCACTCCTCGCTGCACGATGCCTTCCGGAAAGCTGAGGCCGCCACTACATCACATGTGGCCCAAGGATCTTGCACTTCCTCTGTCACGGTGCTTTTCGCCACAGCTCGAGTCCACGTCTTCGACTGTCATGGATCCTGGCATTCCGCTCGCGCACTAGTCGACCAGGGCTCCGAGTCGTCCATCATCTCCGAACGGCTAACGCAGCGATTACGACTGCCTCGCAAGACAGCTTCCGTCAGCGTCTATAGGCTCGGCAAGAAAAAGACAGGAGTTGCCAAGAGAAGAGTAGTGTTTATCCTTCAGTCGCACAGCGGTGAGTCAGCCATTTCCGTCGACGCCTTGGTATTGCCGAAGCTCACGCTCTTCTCCGGAGGATGCCGTAACAACATGCAATCCTGGTCACATTTCAAGGGCTTGGAACTCGCCGACCTGGAATTTCGCTCATCGGACCCAGTGGACATTTTTGGCGCCGATGTTTACAGAGTCATAATCCGCCAGGGTCTGCAAAAAGAAGGGCCTCATGAACCCGTAGCGCAACAGACCTCTCTGGGATCTTATCAGGCACCGTTAGTGAGACGGCACCCGGTCAACAGATCTCCTCCCACCATTGCCAAATAGAAGAGGACGTCAACTGTTTGGTGCGGGAGCAGGAGGAAGTTCGCCGGCCGTCTCAGCTCTTCACCAAGGCTAAACAGAAGTGCGAGGACCATTATCGCCGCCATCATTCGCGCGCCGCTGACGGCAGACACTGCCGTCTTACATAGTGCGACTGCCGACGATCGAGCCTCTACCTGACCTGTCTGGAACACGTCGCGCCGCCAGTCGTGCTCTGCAACACGTGACAAAAAATTTGAGAAAGAGAGCGACTTTCGAAACATGTACGTGGAGTTCATGCAACAGTACTTGGACCTGCTACACATGATGCCTGCCCCGTTGACTGAATCGCATCAGGGTGCCTGCTACCTGCCGCATCACGGAGTCTTGCGTCTGGACAACGCCTCCACGAAACTGAGGGTCGTCTTCAACGGCTCGAGCTTCTTGCCAAACGGGAACTCCCTCAATCGGTATCTCATGACTGGGCCGAATCTGCTTCCAGCGCTGGCCGACATCCTGCTTCGCTGACGACGTCACCGATACGTCTTTGCGACCGATATCGAAAAGATGTATCGGTAGGTCCTGGTGCACCCTGACGACCGCAGCCTGCAACGAATAGTGTGGAAGGATGACTACGAGGACGACATCAAGGAGTACTGATTGTGCATCGTTACTTACGGTCTATCCTGCGCTCCGTATCTGGCGATCCACACCTTACGCCAACTTGCCGAGGACGAAAGGCAGCGCTATCCAAAAGGAGCCACCATACCGCTGAGCAATGTCTATATGAACGACATCCTGTCCGGTGCTGCGATCCTTGAGGAAGCTGAAGCCATGCTGCGACAGCTGACAAAGATCTGCAAGGCGGGCGGCTTCTCGCTAAAAAAGTGGTCAGCAAACCACTCACGACCGCTGAACCACGTGGGGCCCGACGATCGCCTTTAACAAGAGGCAAGATGGTGGCTGCCCGGCGAGAGTCACTCTACTCTCGGGTTACGCTGGCAACCCTGTGACGATCGGTTCTTCTTTACTACCCAATAGATCACTCTCTCGTCTATCACCAAAAGGTCGGTCCTCTCGCTGACAGCCAAACTGTTCGATCCGCTCGGATGGCTGTCCCCAATTACAGTATTGGCCAAAATCTTTATACAATCTACCTGGCTACTAGGCCTCGACTGGGACTCACCGCTGCCAAACGACGAGGCGAGGAAGTGGCTGCGATTCCAGAGCGAGCTACCGGAGCTGGAGAAGCTTTTTATACCTTGCTGGTTAGGAAGTGTGACTGACTTACACCTGGAGATCCACGAGTTCGCCAATGCCTCCGTGCGTGCCTACTCCGCCGTCATCTACCTGAAGACAAAAACGTACGAGATTACAAGAGTCACCCTGCTTGCAGCAAAAACCAAGGTAGCGCCTTTGAAGCAAGTCTCCTTACCGCGCTTGGAGTTGTCTGCCGCTACTCTTCTCGCTCAACTGGTCGCCCACGCCGTACCTCTCATTAGTGCAGAGAAGGCGCTTCTTCATCTGTGGTCGGATTCCACAGTGACTCTTGGCTGGATCCGTGGACACCCCTCGTCATGGATCACCTACGTGGCTAATTGGGTCAGTGAGATTCAAACACTGCTCCCGGACGCCCACTGGCATCACATCCCAGGCTGAGAGAACCCCGCTGATTGCGCTTCCCGGGGACTCTACCCCAGCGAACTGGTGGACCATCCTCTCTGATGGCAAGGATCTTCCTGGTTATCTACGGAGAGCAGCCCTTGGACGAACAACTGTGAGGATTTTCTTGAGGATGACCTTCCTGAGAGACGCCGCCGCCATCGTCGAACAGGGGGCCGAACCGAAGATGCTGCTGTGCTATTCTTCTCTGCAACAATTACTTCGGATTACCTCGTGGTGCCGTCGTTGGTTGCTGATCCACCGTCGGCCTCGCCACGTACAGGACAAGCTGAGAGTGATCAGCTCAATAGAGCCAGACTCTCCTGGTTGAGACTGATCCAGGCTGCAAAATACGAGGAAGAAATAGAGGTACTGCAAGGAGAAAAGCCTCTGCCGCTGCGAAGCTTCCTTCTTCAACTCAGTCCGTTCCTGGACGAGGAGGGAATCCTTCGCTTCGGCGGACGGCTACGACACGCACGGATGCCGTTCGACGCCGCCCACCTACCATACTGCCAGGAACATCAACGTATACCAACCTTGTCATCACCGACCACCATCATCAGCGGAGCCACCTTACACGGCGGCACCCAGTTGACTTTGTGCTCCCTGCGGTAGGAATACTGGATTCCTCGCGGCTGCTTTTTAGTAAAGAGTCACCTCGATCGCTACGTAAAGTGCCTGAGATGGCGGGCCGCAGTCACTCAATCACTCATGGGCGACCTTCCTGCACCGAGGGTCACTTCGGGACGCCCGTTCCTAAACATCGGTGTCGACTACGCCGGACCGGTTTGGTTGCGAACTGCCCAGGGCCGCGAACACAAGGCGACGAAGGGTTTTATTGTTGTGTTTGTTTGTTTAGCCTCCCGAGGCGTCCACCTCGACGCAGCCTCTGACTACTCGCAGACGCCTTCATCGCCGCTTTGCGCCGGTTCACCGCCCGGCGGGGCATGTGCCACTTGCTGTACAGCGACTGCGGCACGAATTTTGTAAGCGCGGACAACCAATTCCGCGCTATGTTCTCCGCTGCCACCTCGAAAGGACGCCGCAACGCCACCCTTGTCGCCTAGGAGCGAATCTAGTGGTTCTTCAACCCTCCGGTGGCGCCAAACTTCGGAGGTATCTAGGAAGCAGCAGCAAAGTAAATGAAACATCACTTTTGACGAGTTCTCGGTGACGTCACCCTTACTTACGAGGAAATGGCTACTTTACTCACCCAGATCGAAACCTGCCTGAATTCACGACCGTTGATGACATTGAACGACGACCCTGAGGATCTCAACGCGCTCACACCGGGGCATTTCCTTATCGGCAACGCAATTAGCGCGGTCCCGGAACCTTCACTCGTCGAGGCGGTGTCGACGCGTCTCTCTCGTTGGCAGCTTCCTCAGCAGATAAAAGACCATTTTTGGTCCCGATGGTCCAGCGAGTATTTACATACGCTGTCTCATTGGCCAAAATGGTTGAAAGTCTTGCCAGAAGCCAAGGTTGGTCGGCTTTGCCTCGTTCGCAGTGAGATCACACCGTCTACCAAGTGGCCGCTCGCTCGCGTCACGAAGTTTTATCCGGGAGCTGATGGCCACGTGCGCGTCGTCGACATCCGCACCGCAACTGCCGTGTTAAAACGCCCGGTCACGAAATTAGTCTTTCTCCCCGACGGCGACGAACTTGCGCGTGACGAAAAAATTATATCGCGACGCATTTTTCACTTAAATCCGCTCATCAATTCTCTACTTATCACTCATCACTACACTATCATCATCACTACACTTTGCGAGAATACCAAAACGCAAATTGTCACTGCGCTTCACGACGCGTTTTACTGTATGTCTCTTGACTGTCGCAAATCTCAAAATTAACTGTACGGCTCCGCATTCTTTTGCCGTTCACGAAATTCGTGTAGCATGTGCGCTCCATGTGTCCGTCACTCGCGAGCGCGTAAATGGGCGCAAGCCCCCACTCTTGCGCGACGATTACGGTTGCAGGTATACTCCTGCAAGGCGGGCGGAATGTTCAAAAATCGAACGTTTAAAACCTGCAAATAAAATCATTAGACCATTTATGCATCACTTTCATGCCATATGCATTATGCTACTATAGATAGAAATTTACATTATAACCAAATAGTGCTCGGCCGCAAGGGTATACGGTTACCCCGTGCCTTCGAAAAATAAGCGCTTGCGTTATCTCATATTAAACTGTAAACACCGCGGTCGCGCGAGAGGAGATAAAAAACAGCTATACTAATAACAAAATTGAGATGTTGTTCGAGGAATAAACAATTACAATAAACGTTCTTTCGCCCTCAACCAAACGATAGAATTTTAAAAATGTTCGCGAATATTCTCGAATATAGAGCCTATATAAACCTCCTGTCGAGCGGCCGCGGCGCTCTTTCCGATTGCTAGTCGTCGCGAACAGAGTGCGTTTTTCCGATCAAAATTGCTCGTCTTTTTTCGTGCTAACTACCGTCTCTTACAGACAAAAATAATTATATTCTCGACTCGGCTTTTCTCTCGGTTTATTGTACATTGATTATATGTTCGACTCGGCTATTCTCTTGTGATTAATTCTTCGCGGTTTAGACAATTGTAGTTTTTGTGTTAGTTAAATATATATTCAGTGTTAACGATACGCGTGTGTTGAGTTCAGTGATTTTCCGACGTCCCGCTTCCGACTTTCCTATCCTGCCTTCCGTCTCGCATACTGGGGAAACCGTCATGGTACCACACACCTCCAGGTAAAGGTGCGGGTTATGTAGGACTCTTTGTTGTCTTCAACCGAACCACTAAGTGATTCGACCAGGGGGCCCAAGACCTACCGCACTAAAACTCCAGCGGATGTCCATCACGGGCGTTGGGTAGGGATGGCGAGGATGCTGGTATCCCATGCCATCTCGCCGCCCCCCCCCTGCCTCGACCTTGCGGCCGAGACCCTTCCCCGACCACACAGTCAATGACTGTGCGGTTCCATCGCGGTTCGGCGCAGAGCGACATCAATCCCACGCCGCGCCCTCCCAAAAAGTTTGGGGAGCGGGGCCATGGCTCGAGAACTTTGGCTCAATCCCCTAGAGAGTGATCCGGTTTGGCGTTCCATCAGGAGGGCCCTTCACCAGGGGTTTCTCTCTGAAGGAGGGAAGCATAAGGCCCTTCTCATGGACGTAGACGTGACGTGCGGGGCCCTCTCACCGGGAGGCACCAATGGGAGGGTAACGTCGTCCACGGAGGGGAACTGGTGCCTTATGCCTCCCAGTGAGAGGATCTCGCACGTCACGTCTACGTCCATAAAGAGAGCCCAGGCGACCCAGGCAAAAAAGCTATGCCCACCCGTCAGGGACACGTGGCTCTCCCCTCGGCCCCCGGCTGCGGTTCTCTCTGCTCCCATGGGAGTTAGGATTCGGCCGCAACTAGGGGGATTTTCCTTTGGGAGGGCGGGCGCCCACCCCGCGCCTAAGCGCGGGCAGTACGCCCGCTCCCTTCCCTCTCGAGATCCCAAAAGCTGCCGGGGAAAGGAGCCATAGGCTTAAACGCCCCCCCCCTCCGACACCCTCATCCTGCGTCTAATGTAGACGCAGGTATGAGATGGGCGCCCCGATTCCCGCCGCTACAAACAGCCACGTCCACGGGCACAGCCGCCGACGGCGGGTAAAAGGGAGGCACGCCCCCACTCTCCGACCCCTCCCCTCTTCTAACCCAATCTAACCTAACCCCACACCCTTCCCTCTCTTCCCTCCTCTGTTCCTATCCTCTCTTCCTTCCCTCTCTCCGATCTTTTCTTCCCCTTTTCCCCTTTTTACCTTCCCCTCTCTCTCCACTCTTTCCTTTTTCTTCTCCTTTACCACTCTCTCTCCCTTTCCCCTCCCTCTCTCTTTCCCTTTCTCCATTTCCCCTCTCTCTTCTTCTTTTTTCCTTCTTTTCCCTCCCCTCTCTCTTCCCCCTTTTCTCCTCTCTTCTTTTTTACCCCTCTTTTCCTTTCTTTCCTATAAAATTTCCTCTCTTGCCGGTGTCTCTTGCCTAGCCATTGTCCTGATTTCTTCTATCATTTGCCTCTGCTGCTCGATGAAGTTGCCCAGGGTGATTGAAATCCGATCAAGCGTCCCATTTGGATCGATAGTAGGCGTAACTACGTGCGAGGGCGCAGGTAAATCTGCTGGAGTGCTGCTCTTGCGTGACCTCTCGCTATTATTTCGTGAACGCTAACATGAACACGTGAAAGTCAGAGAAAAACGGTCACGCACCGTATGCCAATATCGGAATGTCGCGCGCATGGAAATTTGCGCACAAATATTTGAGGGAAAGTAAGCTTTTATTGCACTTCTGAATTAATTAGAGCTGTAAGTTCAAATGTTTATTAAATGCTGATTCTATAATAAACAACTAAAGCTTTGTACAAAATTGTCTAATTGTCCTTTACTGGAATGCGAGGATGCCAGGGTAATGGTCGATAATATCTTTTAAGTAAATTCAGTCTCTTTAATTAATAAAAATGAGGTATTTAATATAAACTGATAAATCTTTAAACAAGATACAATTGACGATGAACAACGATTGTTCGGAAGGCAGAATCAAGACCGAAAATAGATGGTTAAAATCAAGTTCAGAAGCTGCAAAGCTATTTATATTACAATATTCAAGAGTACTTACACACGAGCAATCTCGGAGATACAGCTTGGCTGTATTTAACAAAGCTCAATACGCGAATTCAATACAGAGTCATAACATATTTCACTGCAAAAATTTTTCAAACTCGATCAAGACGCCAGATCTGCCATGGTAAAGTTACAGGGACTCTGTTACAATTGTTCGAGGTCAAATCACTTAGTAAATGAATGCAAATCAAATACATGCAAAAAATGTAAGCAAAAACATCACACTTTTCTCCATTTTAAAAATGAATCAGTTGCTCAAGGAGCAAGTAACTCAATTATAGTAAACACAAATCCGAATCTTCAAGCCATTGTTACTTTACAAGTTCTTCTATCTACCGCATCAATACTCATATTAAATCAACATGAAGACGCATAATTGTTTTATTTCTTATATATTTATTTTCTTTTTTAAAATACATTTTATTAATATCATCTACACATAAATGTTTATTGCTTATGTATTTATTTTCTTGTTTTAAATGATTTTTATTAAGATTAACTGACAACTGCAATTTGTTTAAGATAGCTCTTACAGCCCTTCTTTGTTCACAAACATTAAGTTTAATAGAGCTTATTACTATTTTTATTCAACATGAAGAGTTTGTGAAAAGTAGAGTGTTGTTGGATAACGGATCTCAGTCTAACTTTATTACTAAGCTACTATGCAGTGTCCTGAGTCTCAATCATGTAAAGACAAAATTTATGTTGCAAAAGCTGCGGGAGATCAAAGTAAACTGGAACGAGTCGCTCCCTATAGACATTGATACCTCTTGGAATAAATATAAGGAATAAATTAAACTTCTAAACAATTACACCATTCCTCGTCAGGTGACAGAGAATAACGCTACAGAAATCCAACTACATGGCTTCTGCGATGCCAGTGAAACAACTTACGGAGCCGTGCTATATCTGCGATCCACAACTGCTACAGGCACCATATGAAGAATGTAATTTGTTCCAAAACTCGCGT